CAACTCGCCATCTACCACGGCCCAACAGTCACCATTTTACTTGAACTACGGACAAGACACGACAGTACCCATGACCCCGAATCCCGACAACGCAGTACCATGAGCACAATAGTTCGCCGAAATATTACAAGCAGCACGGACCCGGGCAGTAGACGCAATAAAAAAATCGAACATCATCGCTAAACAGAACGCCGACCGCCACTGCAGACCTGTCACTTACCAGCCCGACGACTTAGTTTTACTTGACACTCAGAACCTCCGACTGCCCATCACCCTGAAACTCCGCCCCCGATACTGCGGGCCATTTCGCATAAGCCACATGCTTACACCCGTCACCGCTCACCTCCTCCTCCTTGCTGACTGGTACATCAGGCCCTCATTCCACGTCAGCCTACTTCGCCCTTACGTCCCGTCCACAAGCCAACTGCCACGCAATTGCCCTGCCAGCATGACAAGACCACCAACTGAACCAGTCATCACCCTCGAGAAAATCCTAAGTCATAGAGTTGGAGACCGTCGAGGAGCCCGAAGGATCGAGTTCTTACTCCGCTGTAAAGACCGTACACCCACCAAAAACAATTGGGTTCCCCTGGACAGAATCGAAAACCACCCCGTCCTCACCGAGTATCTGCGCAGCCGAAATTTCAGGGATGTACACGCACTTTCGTAAGGAGGACCTCCTTAGGAGGGGGGGTTGTGTAAGGAAAATTCATTTTCCTTACTTCGCATCCCTGCTCAACGCGTACATCACTGTAGCACCGCAGTCAGCACCGTTACTACTCGCAACCCTCGCATCGACAATCCGCCCGCCACCTTCGCACATCGCACCCCGACCTCACGGCTCGGCGAGTAACCCGCGCTCCGGGCCCCCGCTTCGACACCTTTTCCCAACCACAGTCGCCTGTTGCGCGACAACCACAGTCCATTACCGTTACCACTGTAGTTTCACTATATATTCTTCGCTCATGCCTTCACTCATTGTACGCTTGGTTCGATAGTGCAATTCTCGTTCGTTCACTCAATTGCACTCGTAACAATCACCTTGCAAGGTACTTCAAGGACGGGGACGGACTTGCTATTACCAGCCTCGTTTAGAAGCCCCTCTGATTTGGATCATTATCTTGTTTAGGCAGATGCATCCGGCTTTGGTCATTCAAGGGGCCCAGCTCCATCTCATCCATCTAAACCAGGAACATATTTTAGTGGCAAGCTACAGCTACAAGTTTCTGCTGAGTGTGTAGGTGGATTATATGGCCGAATGTATCTGTTCACGTATTGCCACGTGGTTGGTTCAAGGAACCTCGACTTACCAGTAGTTGTGTTTCCCGCCCAAAAAACCACATACCTCCACAACAGCCGCAGGTCACACACACAGCCATATCAGCCTATTCGATCTCAGAGTCACACATCGAAACGACGATTGGTCACTTCTTTCTCAGGAGTCTGGGTACAGCCTGGACCACTCGCATAAACATCTCCCCACCATGCGGGAAGCACCTTCACTACACCAAATCACTCCATAAACCTGCAACTCTGCTCGCGCGTCCCATCCATTCGCATTCCTCCACACGAGTGTACATTACTCTAGTTCATTCCATTCCATTCACGCGTACATCCTTCCGAGTGCGCTACACATCTGCTTCTGCCTCACCGCAACCAACCAAGCACCCAAACCACGCGATATCCACACCACCTCCTCGTGTATTCCCTCCACCCCAGGTTGCAACGCCCCACCCTTCGGCTACACTAGCCCAATTCGTCGACTCTACGTTGCCACGCAGTAACCCCGGGCCCCGTGTCCCCCGTGCCCAGGTTCCTTTTGCCAGCGAGGCGCGTCAGATCCCTTCACATCTCCTCGTGGCAAGGCTTTACCGCCTCCCCAGCTCCCCTCGTAGCTCACTATCTCCTGGGAGAATATCAACATAACCCATTCCCCTGCCTCTCTCAACCCAGCCGCGTCGCTTCGCGCCATGGCGTCGGTCTCCGCAACCTCCGCGGCGTCGCTCAATGCGCTCGGCTCGCTCGCGGCACTCTCCTCGCCGCTGACGACTGCGAGCGGCTGCGTCGCGATGCCGTCGATCCCTGCTCGCCGGGTTGCGGTGCGTGCACAGGGCGGCGGAAACGAGGGCCGCAACGAGGGCAGCGGACAGGGTGAGTGGCGGAGCCACAAATGAATTATACCCAACCGCCTAATTCCCCACTCGACTCGCCCATTCTCCAACGGATTCGGTTCCCCGTCTCCGCTTTCCCCACGTCCCCATACTCACTTTCCCCCATTCTCCGCACATCCCCTACTTCCCCCGTGTCCCCCGTTCCCCGCACGCGCGCACGTCAGACGCGTGGAAGCCACCATCCGACTGGGACAATGCGTGGGCGGCGTACAAAAAGGCCGGTCCCTCGCCCGCGCAGCGCCTGCGGCAGCAACAGCCCGGCGCGCTCAACAGCAGCAGCGCCAATAGGAGCAGCGGCGGGCGGGCGTCGTCCGCGCCCTCTCCGCCGTCGCCCCCGCCCATGGGCGGGCTGTTCGCGCACATGGAGCAGTACGTGTCGCGGGAGCCGCAGCGCATGGACTACCCGTTGTCGGAGGAGGTGGATCCGCTCAAGGTCACGGAGAAGCGCGTGCTGCGCATTTGGACGGATCAACGGTTCACGTTCGCCGGATTCGGCGTGATCGTGGGGCTCTTCGTGTACATGGTTGCCGTGGTCGGGCCGCCCTCCGCGTGATTGGCGGTGGTGCCTCGAGCAGAGAGTAACATGGGCTGGGCGTATGGGTAAAAGCGTGACTCAACCTGTCTGATTGCCTGCCTGGCTAGGCTTTGACATAAAACGTGTCTGGCTTCTTGGTGTGGAGTTTCCTGTGCGGATTTGATTGTGTACAAAATGTTACATTGTGAGAATAGTAAATATAGTGAGGAGCCATGGCTAGGGTTTAGCTAGTTAGGCAAGAGAGAAATGAAGAAAGGAGGGGTTTCACTAGCAGCAGATGGGATACATAAAGCAAACCCTAACAGATTTGTACTCGCTATAGAGCACACCCCATTACAGGCTGGATAATAACATTCTGACACACCCCCATAGCCAAAGTGGGGTGTAATCAGCAGAGCACACAGTCATAGAGCAAGTTCACAATGGCAAGCAAAGCTAGAGACTATCACAGAGGGCAAGTGAGGAGGAGGAGAGTACTATGGATGGAGAGAAGATGGGAGACAACGGCTGAAGCTGCAGAGACACGGCCACAGGAGCGACTGACCCAGTGGCTACCGAAGCAAGGGCGACGGACTACTGGAGTGACTGGTTCCGCAGCTAAGACGAGCGGCAGGAGCAACGGACTCACTGACGACTGGCGCAACAAGCTCACTAGCTACCAAAGCAAGGGCGACGGACTACAGGCGCTGCAGGCGACACGACAGCTACCTCCACACAACCTCCTCCAACTGACCCACACCCTTGACATACACCCCCTGCTCAACCCCTAACTCCACTCCCACATCACCCCCCTAGCACCACTCCTTCGGCTCCCACACACCCACCCCCCTGAGCGCTAGCTGCAGCAGCGGGAGACGGGGGAGGAGGAGGAGCAGGGGACGGCGCACACAACCGGCACCCCCACAACCGTCCCCCCCATACTCCCCACCCCCAAACCCTAAAGCGGGTGGCACGGGGTAGGAGCGCAGGGGACGGCGAGGAGGACGGCGCGCGACCCCCAGGGCGCCACCACGGGGCAGCGAGGGGCCGCGGGCGGCTCCGCAGGGCGCCGCGACGTGAAGGGCGGGGGCCGCGCGTGCCCCCTAGGGCGCCGCGACGAGCAGGGCGGGGGCCGCGCGTGCTCCGTAGGGCGCCGCGACGAGCAAGGCAAGGGCCGCGCGCAGGTTTCCAAGGTAGGAAACCGCCGCGCGCCTCGGGGCGCATGGCGGGCAAAAAACCGCCGCGCGCCCTGAGTGCACGGCGATCAGAAAACCCGAAAAAAAAATTCGCCGCGCGCTCCGCGCACGGCAGGAAGGAGTCGCACGATACGGGACGTGCAACAGACAGAGTAGCAGCGGAAGCTGTTAGGTGGGCCCACAGGCCAGGAGCGTAGATGCTCTGATAGCATGTGAGAATAGTAAGTATAGTGAGGAGCCATAGCTAGGGTTTAGCTAGCTAGGCAAGAGAGAAATGAAGAAAGGAGGGGTTTCACTAGCAACAGTTGGGATACATATAGCAAACCCTAACAGGGTTGTAATCGCTATAGAGCACCCCATTACAGGCTAGGTAATAACATTCTGACATACATTTCATTACACTTTAAAAAATTATCATATTGTGAAAATGCACTTACGCTGACTTGCAAAGGCAGCGTTATCATTTCATATGGGTCTTCAGAGGCAAGTACAGTCGGGGCTGGCGGTGCCGTTCGATTGATCGCTGATGCGTAGCGGGTGAGCGAGCCGTCGAATGATCCTGCAATTTCATGGAGCGGGAGATGAGCTGATCTTGCGCGATTGTACCGTCATCGTCTGAATATAAGACATATATGTCTTATCTCGTACACGGGCAAAAATGCCTGAGTTATCTTGTAAACGGGATGGTTTAGGGTGTCTTATAAGTCTTATAAATGGAGAAAAATTGAAGTTGACTGTAACACTTGCAAAGTGTGTAGAAAACACCCAGAGACCAGATTCATTGAAACAGGCCGACCTCGGTGGTGATGCATGCAGCGCCCACACTTGCCACGTGAGGGAGCTGCCACCGCTGGCAATATTCTTCTGTGCTGGCAGCATCTAATGATGCTGCCAGCGTCGTTTTGCTGCCAGCAGCGTAGGGATGCTTCCAGAACGCTGCTGGCAGCACGTTGACAGCGTGAGGGCCGTCCTCTACGAGGAGATGCCTCGTAGAGGAGCGGTTCGGCACCTGTGGATGGGGCACTCTGGCTGGAGGGGGTAGTCGGCCTCTCACTTCATTTGGTGCCCAAGGGTTTAGGAATACTCGTCTCAACCTTGCTCTCGGCAGGCTTTCTAACCATGCGCAGCAAAGTACCCCCAGGCTCGTCCTCTCCTCGTCCTCACGTGCAGGTGAATAACTACGGGCGAATTAACTCGCCCGGCGATGACATCCGTGTAGCCATGGCGAAGAACGTGAGCAAGGTGGGAAGTCCTACCGCGGCCTCCAGTGCGAGTTGTGACGGGGACGACGGAGAAGAAGCGAACGGCGGCGACGCCGAGGAGGATTGGCCGGAGAACGGCCACGACGACAGCACTTCGGGCGACGAATTAGGTCCTGCCGACATCGAGGAGGACGAATGGTGGAATCGGCCGATCAGGAGCGACGACGAGGTGGAAGAGTGGCGGGCTGGAGATTCGGACAACGACGGAGGTGAAAATGCGAATGGTGACAACGCGGAGGCAGCGGCGGATGCACAGGAAGCGGCGATGGATGCGGATGAGGAGGCTGAAGACGGCGCAACCGCAGTTGCGGATGCGGATGCTGTGGTAGAGTCGGACACGGTTGCTGCGGATGCCGTCTTATTTGACGGTGAAAGCGGCGACGACGACCCATGGAGCCTTGGGACAGACGACGACGTTCCGCTACTGAAGCGGAAGCTCCGCCATCGTCTACAGCCAAAGTCAAAGCGGGCCCGCGTGGTGCTCTCTGACGACGACAGTCCGGGGGAGGAGCGTCGCCCGAAGCTCACCGCTGCGGCGAAGGGAAAAGCCAAGGTCGCGGAAGCTCCTGCTAAGGCCCCTGCTCGTCGATGCACAAGCAACAAGAAGCGGACATCCGACGGAGACCCGGGATCTAGCAAGGGTGCGGCTAAGAAGAAGGCGAAGAAGGCATCGAATCCTGACGACATCGTCGTGAACGAGACTCTGGGCAGCGACGATGAGTACGTGGCGGCGGCGGGCCCGATTCCCACGTTCCCTGAGAAAGTCACGCCGAAGGACCCCACCCTCCATAATCCCAACACCCGCCCACCTTCCCCTCGCAACAAGGACACTACAAGGAAGCGCCGCTCTTGGACCGTGTGTGAGAAGCTTAAGTGGGCGCGCCACTATCTGGAGCTCGGCTCCTTGAAGAAGATGAGCGTGGAGTCAATCGTGTCCATCGCCTGCATCAGACGTTGGAGTGCGGAGGCGGCTGCGGACGTCTAGAAGGGCGCGGATAACTGCCGCACGCGGATGCACGGGGGGGGGCGCCACTCACATTACCCCGACATGGAGGCAGCGTTGTACCGCTACATCTGCCTTCAGCGCGCTAACGGGGCGGCCATCTCGGTGAAGGACACCTAGAAGTGGAGCCGCGAGTGGAGGAAGAAGCATTGCGCCGGCAAGAACTGGAACGCGAGCTCTCACTGGAGCTAGCGTTTCCGTGACCGCTGGAACCTGGTGATGCGGGTGATGACCAAGGTCGGCCAACGACTGTCGGCAGGTGCGTGTTGAAGGAATTCGTGTCGCGCGCGGGCTATTGAATGCATGTCCCTCACCCAATGTCTAACCATCCTGTGTTTCCGTTGCGCGTGTACTGTTGCAGAGTGCGCGAAGGACTGCGAGTCCTTCTGGAAGTTCGTGCGCATCAACAGGGCGCGGCACAACATCGACCTGGCCCGCATCATCAACGCGGACCAGACTCCACTATTCGTGGAGAAACCAGCCGAACAGACGATCGAACACCGCGGCGCGCGCTCGGTCTCAATCCGCACTGCAGGCTACCAAAAAACGCGCTTGACGGTGATGCTCGCGTGCACTGCATCCGAGGAGAAGCTGCGGCCGTGGGTGTGGTTCAAGATGAAGAACGTTCCCAACTGTGAGATTCCGGAAGATAAGCGTAATGAATTCAACCGTGCGACTGCCTGATGAGCGTGCCCCACTATGCTGAAGCCCGTCTGTCCCTTGTGTGCCTGGCAGGAATCGTGGTCCATGCACAGGACAACGGGTAGATGGACGAGAGCGCTGTGCAGACCTGGCTGTCCAAGGAGGTGCTGCCCCATCTGAACCCCCAGCGCGGCCAGAACGCGAGGCGTGCGATGTTGGTGTTGGACTCCTACCGCGGTCACATCACCCAGACCATGCTTCAGTCGTACCGCACGCACAGCATCACCCCTGCAGTCATCCCAGCGGGTTGTACGAGCCAGATTCAACCCCTGGACGTCTCAATCAACCGGTGCTTCAAGGCTGCTGTGCGAGCGCGCTACGCCAGGTGGTTCATGCGTGAGGGGATTCACCTGAAGACAAAGAAGGGTGAGTTGGTCCTTCATTTACGATATTATTCCTATTCTGTTTCCTGTCCTTGTCTTAAACATGCTCCTTCATGTCCGTGTCTCTAACATCTCGCTGCCCCGTCCTCAAACCCACTCGCAGGGAACCTGCGGAGGCCGCCCCACCCCGCGGTGCTGTAGTGGATCGCGGAGGCTTGGGATCAAGTCCCCAAGCAGATCATCATCGACGCGTTCCGCCACTGTGGGATCTCAAACAAGCTGGACGGAATCGAGTGTCAGAACGTTATAGCTTATACATTTGTGTAGGCTGTAGTGGGGTAGCCCATAAGGGGTACAACCCAATTAGGGTTAGTACTTGTACCCAACTGTTTCATAGTTCATTCATCCATTCTCATTACTCGTCACGGAGAACCACCTGGTGATGTCTCATCTGCGCACCAGGAGCACCACTGATTTCTCCGCGGACATGTCCCTCGGGGGGACTACAGGCGATAACACGCGCCTGCTCGGTCGGGCTCCAAAGGAGGAGGAGGAGGAAGAGGAGGAGGAGGAGGAGGAGGAGGAGGAGGAGGAGGAGGAGGAGGAGGAGGAGGAGGAGGAGGAGGAGGAGGAGGAGGAGGCGATGCAGGCGGAGGGCGTGCGGGAGGTGGCAGTGGCAACCGGCCTGGAGGTGCTGTACCAGGAGACCCCCAAATACCGCGGGGAGGCCGTCGAGGCTGACCGCATGATCGAGCCTAGGGAGACGGCTAGACATGCCTGGCGAGTGCCAGACCTGGGTGTAGAGCCTGTTGTTAGTGCAGACGAGGAGGCAGTGACTGAGGGGGGTTAGGTAGAAGTAGAGATTCATGAATGTATGCATGTACCCCCCTAAAGTAAAGAAGGCTCGTTTAGAAGACACCCCCTGTTTATAAAAAAACCCCAAAACCCCGGTTCTGATTATATGACATATATGTCTTAACTCGTACACACAAATAGGTGTCGTATAGAAAGGCTAGCCTGTTTATAAGAGACACCCGTATAGTAGACAACCCCTGTCTACTATTCAACACTGTCTTATATCCGGGCGATGACGGTGACGTACATCTCCTTCGCGCTGTCGCTGCGCCATCGGCCCATGCGTTTGAAGAGCCGGTCAGGAACTCCGAGGCTTGCCGCCGCAGTAGCTGCGCCTTTGCGGAATGAGTGGGTTCCAATGTGCGCGACATCCAGTCGAGCTTGCCTGCCGGCCTCGAGGCACCAGTTTCTGATCGTAACGTAGGATGGCGATTTGTCGTGAGGTGTGGCTTGCGAGTTCTTCGGGAAAACCCTTATCAGCGGTCCTGTGGCACCTTTGTCAGGCCTGCCATGTGTATGAATTTGCGTGTGCACCTCACCGGGCAGTATGGGCCTGGAATTGCCGCCACTAGGATCCAGACACCCCTCCCTTCCTGGTCCGTCTTCGAGTGCGGGATGAGCAGCCACATAGCCTTCTCCTCGAACTGTACATCATTCCATCGGAGCGAGACGAGGTCGGAGTAGTGCAAGAATGCCGAAAGCATGAGAAGAGGAATCAATCCTTTCTGGTATTCCGCAGGAATTGATGATTCCAGGAAGGGACGAGCCATGTTGTGCACTTGATGGAGAGATATGGGCTCTTTGGTCCTTGTAAGCCGGGGACCATATCTCTTGGCGAACTCCCGCACTTGCAGGGTGAATGGGCCGGCGGTAGGGGAGGTTTCACTGGTCATGCGGTGGGCGAAGGCAACTGCCAAACACGTGAGGTTGATCGCGGAGAGAGTTGTTTTGTTGTTGAGCGCATGGATGAGATTCAACACTAACGTCAGGCCGGTTGCCGGCAAGAACTCGAGCTTAACTTGGGTACAGAAGGTGCGAAATCTCTGCCAATAAGGTTGTTACGTCACGATTGTAGATGGTGCGCAAACGTGGCTCATTACGGGCATCAATTGTTGCTGTAGTTTGGCCAAAAGTTCTGACATGACACATTGAGAAATTTTGATTAGACCGCATAGTTTACACGCAAAGAAATGATTGGGCTATGAGGCAATCCGAGACCAGAGAATGCAGTGGTGTGTGAACCAGCCCGAAGGCATTGACTGCCTTGGGCAAGGGAAAGGTGCTCTACTACTGTCGGAGCCCATGATTGAGTGGACGGTTGGAGAAGCGGCCACCATGACGCTCCGGTCCACTGGGGAACGACGAGCGTGAGTTCTGTCTGCGTTAGTTCCGCATGGCGGAGTGTAGTGGGAATTAAGTGTGGAGGCGGGAAGGCAAAGCATCGCTTGCATTTCCACGAGATTGAAAATGCGTCGACAGCGAACGCGTCCGGATGCGGTAACTTAGAGCAGAAGCACTGAACGTGATTGTTCCGAACGTTAGCAAAGAGATCAATTGCGTGGGGCCCCCAGCGGCGTTTCAAGAGGCGAAACCAAGGTGCGTGTAGGGAGTAGTCATCGAAATCTTGCATCTTGGATAGGTCATCCGCATGGACGTTGAGCTCTCTCAGAATCCATTGGATCGCGAGGCGTGTTGTGTTGCCGAGGCAGAACTGGATGATGGCTTGGCATGTCAACGTAAGATCCGCCTGACGGGATCCCCCCTTGCGCAAGATTAACATTACTGCCTGGTTGTCCACGCGGACGGGGACATGAGCACCCACGATCCGAGTCGCGAACGTCCGCAGCGCCCAGAGCACTCCCTCAAGCTCTCGCCGCGTACTGGATGTGGTGAGAAGCCCTCGTGACATGCGCTCGCTTGCTTCGCATGATGTACTTGGGAACTTGGCCAAGGTGGCACCCCAGCTGTGTGCGCTTGCGTCGACGTGTATCACGACATCAAAACGCTGACTCTGGTGGAATGGGGCGCCATTGAAACGATCGAAGTGCATTGTCCAAAACAACAGCCCTTCTGTCGTTCCTGGTGACAATTGAACCTTTGAGTTCCATGACCACTCGGAGTCGATCAAGTACAACAGCTCATGGCTGTAGGCATGCGCCGTCGTGCCCAGCGCGAGCGACATGGAGCTGAGAAATCCAGTGATCCGGGCTAACTTGCGAATCGGCACGTGGCGACCTGATTGCCCTTTTTGTATAAGTAGGTGGAGCTCATGCAGTAGTTGTTCGCGCCGATCTTTTCTGACGAGAAACATCCCTCGTTCCGTGTCAAGCTCCATCCCCAAAAAGCGCAGGCGGTGTGCGGGATACATGTGTGATTTTTTAGAATTTATCACGAATCCTGCCGCCTTTAGGTCGTGGAGAACTTCGATGCACGTCGAACGGGCTTGCGCCTCGGAGTCGCAGAGGAATAGTAGATCGTCCACGTATGGTATTACGCGCACTCCGCGCGCGCGCCATCTCTCGGCTAGTTGCTTAATAAGCTGGGTGAAGATGAACGGGGCTATTGCCAGGTCGAAAGGTAACGATGTGAAGCAATAGAACTTTCCACCCAATTGAAAGCCCCAAAACTTCCAGCACGACAGGTGGATATCGACGTGGTGGTAGCCTGACTTGAGATCGATTGTGAACATCCAGTCGTTTGGGCGAATGATCTCCGCGACCCGACGCAAGCCCTCGTACTTGAACTTGGGAACTTGGAGGTGAGCGTTGACCTTCCGCAGGTCAAGGATAAGCCGACATTTGTCTCGTTGCTCCACAACGTTGTGTGATGATAGTAAGCAGAGTGAGGAGCCATAGCTAGGGTTTAGCTAGCTAGGCAAGAGAGAAATGAAGAAAGGAGGAGTTTCAATAGCAGAAGTTGGGATATAGCAAACCCTAACAGGCTTGTACTCGCTATAGAGCACCCCACTACAGGCTAGATAGTAACATTCTGACACGTTGAGCGGGCTGATGCACGTAAGTGCGGCTTTCGACGAGACATACATCGCGGCGCTTGACGCGATGAGCACGCTGACAGCGTCTTGGGTGAATGCCATGTGTGCTTGAACCCCTGCGTGATTAGGAGCTTCGAAGGGGAGAGGCTCCGCGCCCTTCCATGGTAGTCAGTATCCTTTGGCAATGATGGAAAGGATAAGACTTCTGTCGCACCGTGATAGCCACCAGTGGAGGCTGTTGCGCAATCGCATTCGCAGGATGGACACCATGCTGTCTATTATTGCGTGCTCGTATGGGTTCCTGTGAGCACTCTGCCACTCGCCTTCCACTTCTGCAATTGGTGGGTAACCGAGGTTGTGGGGGGGGAACGAGGATCAAGGTAGATTAGCCGTGAGATATCGTGAGACGCTTTGCGGGGTAAACTATGTCGCTCATCTTCTACCGCCTTCGCGCCTCCCCCCACCCTTGTTTTTTTTTTTTGTTTTTTTTTTTTTTTGTTTTTTTGTTTTTTTTTTTCTAACACTTCCCTTGAGCACTCATCAGCTTCGACACCTTTGCAAAGGGGCTTTGCTTTTTTTTTTTTTTTTTTTTTTTTTTTTTTTTTTTTAAGATTGCCTTACAACGAGATCGGCGCATGTGCGTCACTAGGTCCCATGACCTTGTTCATCACGATCTCTTCGTGCCTTCTCTCTCTCTCTCTCTCTCTCTCTCTCTCTCTCTCTCTCTCTCTCTCTCTCTCTCTCTCTCTATCTCTCTCTCTCTCCTCTCTCTCTCTCTCTCGCTCTCTCTCTCTCTCTCTCTCTCTCTCTCCTCTCTCTCTCCCTCTCTCTCTCTCTCTCTCTCGCTCTCGCTCTCGCTCTCTCTCTCTCCCTCTCTCTCTCTCCTTCCCCTATGCTACTCTCAAAGGCTTCTAACCAGCCTACGTACCACCGGTGCATCCACCTACGCCCCCCGGCATAGTGGCAAGGGGTGCCGCCCCATAGGTCCTCTCACACCACGGGTGCGGGACCTTGTCCGCCACGCCCTCCCATAGGGCAATTTTTTGCCATATGGCCAGGCTGGCCGCAACGAAAACACGTCCCCTTGAAGCGGGGTTCGTGGCAGCCCGCGGGCGGCATGCCTTTGCTTTCCGGTTCACCGTCTCGAGGGGGAAGGCGGCCTCCGCGGGCGAAGCCAGTACATGCACGCTTGAGGGCCGCCACGTGTCAAATCTACTGACACCCCCCCACACTGGGAGGCCCAGGACTAAGCACAGCGGCAATGGCCTACATGTGCATACACTGGGAATCGAACCCGAGACCGCTCTGATACCATGTCAGAATCCCAACCACTAGACCATTGGGATAAAAGGGCTTGTTAAGTAGCGGGTCAGAGTGCGCCCATAACCCCCCAGGCAAACACGCCTGTAACCCCCCGTAGGATCGATCGGGCATCCACAGTGCAGATCTACTGACACCACGTCGGCTACACTTGTAGGAGCGGGACGTGCGCACGCTCTTGGCTTGGTACAGCTGGAACCGATCCGCCGCTTCGAAATCGGCCTCATCCGCCACCAAGACCACCTCAAAACGTTTGTTGATCAACTTTTCGACTTGCTCCACGTTGGAGAGCGCGCCATCGACGTCGCCGTGTTGGAGCTTGAACTCGACGTGCTTCAGGTGAGCTTGAATTGCAGAGAACGCCTCCGCCTGGTCACGCACTCCCTTGCGCATGAAGGTAGTAGCCGCGGGTGTGGGGTTGAGGGGGGGAAGGGGAGGTGCGAGTGCGAGAATGCGACGACGAGCAAGGTTGTCGGAGGCCTGTCTTCATTTTCGACCCCCTGCGACGCCAGCGCGAACGACCCCCGTGCGATGTCCTTGATTTCCCGCCCAGCTGCTAAAACATGGGGGGAATTTTAACAGGGTGGTTTGACACCACAACGCGCAGTAATAGTAACTGTGGGCTAATCATTACAGCCCATCCCTGGTAAAATTTCAGACCATTGCCGATGTTACTTTTCAAA